CCCAAAACCCCAAAACCCCAAAACCCCAAAACCCCAAAACCCCAAAACCCCAAAACCCCAGAAGTCTAAAATAATTGAAATAAATAATATTCAAATTACAATGTCAGAGTCAATAGGGACACTAGGCTACAATTCAGATACCCAATCCAGGCACGAGTCAGGGGCAATAATCAGCTTGCCTTCGCTTTCAGATACAAGCTCCGTCAAAAAGAAGAGAAAATTAAGCCAATCCAGTGAAAAATAAGGGCTCTAAAGCTAAAAAGCCCAAGAAGAGCAAGCATAAAGTCTTCGCAAAAAAGAACAATCAGCTGATCAGGATCGAAGAGGCCAACCCTGGCCTTGAAGTCACCCAAAATTTTAGCAAACAGTCTAACATCAAAGTGGCAGTCAGGCTTCGCCCTCTTGGGGAAAAAGAGATAGACGAAGATCACTTCGAAATAGTCCAAATACTTGAGGACAAGGTAAGCGCTGCTTCATAATTCTAGGTCGTCCTCCTCCGAGATCCCTTAGAGATGATGAACCAGAAAGATTTCCTTAGCATGAATAGGTCCAAGGAAAAATAGATTCGCATTTGATACCGTCTTCGATAAAGATTCAGGCCAGGTTGAAATCTTCAATAATACAACAAAAACTCTAATCGATGGCATCATTGAAGGCTATAATGCAACTGTTTTCGCATATGGAGCTACTGGCGCTGGGAAGACATACACAATGATTGGAAAGGAGCATGATCCCGGTCTGATGTTCCTCACAATCAAAGAGCTATTTGAAAGAGTCGCAAAAACCCAATCTGATAAAAGTTACCAAATCAAGGTATCATTTTTAGAAATATACAATGAAATGATCCGTGATCTCCTTATAATTACCAATGAAGTCCTTGAACTTAGAGAAGATTCCACCGAAGGCATCCATGTTGCTGGCCTAACTGTGATAGATGTCGATTCACCAGAGGAAGTCATGGACTTGCTCTTCTTTGGCAATGCAAACCGTACTCAGGAGGCAACTAATGTAAATGCCACCAGTTCAAGATCACATGCTGTCTTAGAGATTCAGGTAGAGCAGAAAAATAAGTCAGAAGATGTCAATGAAGATATCAATATTGGCAAACTCTCTATGATAGATCTTGCTGGCTCTGAAAGAGCAGCAAGAACTCATAATAGAGGTATCAGAATGGTCGAAGGAGCTATGATCAACAGGTCTCTTCTTTCTTTAGGAAATTGTATCAATGCTTTAGTAGAAAATATGAAAAATGGTAGAAATCAGCACATCCCATACCGCGATTCTAAGCTAACCAGACTTCTCAAAGACTCACTAGGAGGGAACTCTAGGACAGTAATGATTGCGAATATTTCCCCAAGTAATCTCTGTTATGAAGACACCAGCGGTACTCTAAAATATGCTAACAGGGCTAAGAATATTAAGACGACGATCACCAAGAATATCCAGCATGTAGAGCGTCACATCTCAGAATACACCAAGATAATCGCTGAGCTGAAGAGTGAAATCTCCGTATTAAGAACCCGGCTTGCTGATGGGTCTCCCCCTGTACAAATGATCATGAGTGAAGAAGATACACAAAAATTTCAAGAAGCTGAGAAAAACAGCGAGAAAATAGAGGAGTTCCTCGAAAAACTCTCCTCACATTTCCTCGAAGAAACCAAGCTCATCAAGCGTGTTGATGAACTGACTGCAAAACATCGTATGAACGCCTCCTCCACTGAGAACGCACATGAGCTCCTCGTCGAACTTGAGGGAAAAGTCGGGAAAGGCCACAACATGTATACCCAAGTTCAGAAAGAACTTGAGATCCTCAATGAAAATGACCAAAATTTTAAGTCTAAAATTGAAGACGCCGAAAACAAACTTGACGAGGTCAAAGAAGCCCGTATGGCCATCCGCAAGCAATGGGAGGAGGAAGTAATCCCTGAATATGGCAAATAAACTCCTTGATCTCCAATATGAGCAACATTCACTAATAATCAGTAAAATAAAAGGCCAGTTTTATGAACAAGATGTAGATCCGATCCTACCAGATGAAGACCTGTCTAGGCAAAACACTGAGATTCCAACACGAGAATTACGTTTCAGTGCCAATAAGAAGAAGTTAAATGAGAACTTCTCACAGAAAATTCTGTCTAAAACCTCTTCAGTGCCTGTTACATCCACTGCTAATGAATCTCCTTATGAGAGAAAGAAAAGAGAAATTGATGACATGATTGCAAAGTAAGCTCAGATAATAATTATGTGGCCTTCTCACTCAAATTCATCGGGATTCGCCAGACCAGATGCCTTAGCTCATAATGAGAGCTCACGATGAAAATTTAGCATAGTGATGTTCATGGATTATTATACATTTTTCTAAGAGTTTTCGGTGAAATTATAATTCTTGATAATTCGAATATGAAGATCACTTTATACAGATTTTAGACCAAAATCTTGGTCCTAATTTTTGATTTGCTTTGAAACTCTTCCAATTAAAAACAAATAAAATGTCTTACCTCAGTTCACTAACCTCTTTAATTCTACTCTTCTTATTTAGGAGATATCAAAACTTGAGTAAGAAGACCAAGAAGCTGTCCCAGAAACCTCATAAAGAATACCACCAAAGTATGATCAATTCTTTATTTCTTACAGCTCCTTCAAATTCAAATTTTCTACCTCCAAAAAGCAACAAAGTTCGAGTTCCTCACTTTGGAAGGCACAGGCCTCCACAGAATCGGAAGAAGGCTTACTATGATAAGGTCAGCACAGCTTCGAGCAAGAGCTCAATCTCTGTATCCAGGAACGACTTCAGCATGCTACAAATCTCAGGAACCAACATTAACAAGGCAGAGGGTTACAAGCATATGCCCTTATTCGGACACAAATGTAAGCATTTCGAGCAACTAACACTACTGAGACAAGTCTGAAGCCTAGCTAGGTCTCTCTGGCTTAACTTACTACTCATCTCAAAGTTTAGCTGGTACTTTGACTCTTTCCGCTACTTTAAATTACATAAAGTTTTCTCTGCTCTTGTCTAACTTTTCAATCAGAAATCAAAGGTTCAACCAAAGAAGAACCATAAGCCAGTGTACATGTAAGCCATCTTTATAACATTCAGATCAAAAAGAGATATCTCAGACGGTATTTTAAGCTCGAATGGGAATAAATTCTCTGCGAAAATGCCCATGGTCTTTAAGAAAGCTCACAAAGCGCAGGAAAATACCCCACAACTTGAGAATATCGGCCCCAAGATACTGAATATAGGAGGGATGAATAACTGGACTAACCGGTCGATTGATCTATACAGCCAAGGGAATTACTCCAAACACAACTTTTAGTTAATTTTATACCTCTAAGCAATATGTTTTGTATTCTTAGTTCGAAGAAAGCTTTAGCTTTCATCATCAATTTATTTAAAGTACTGAGTGCGAAATGGTACTAACTAAACTTCTTGGGAGATTTAACAAAATTTATGGTTCCGAAATTGAACTCTTGATCCTCTAAATCATTTTAAAAACGACTTAATCCTAGAATTTACTCTAAAAATTCTGTGTATTTTAGAGAATTTCACTTATAAAATATCCAAAGCACAATTTTTAATATAAGATTCCAAAAATTTATTCAATTTCACAACTGGGTCTGTCAAGAGCCATCTACAGTACTTTTTCTGCTCAAGGTAGCATAATCAGGCTTTAAAATAACCAAAGAGCAATCGGGGGCATAGTTAAGGTGCGCTTACTAAATTTAGTCATCTAAATGCACTCTCCATCTCTTAGCCACTAGGGCTAAGTGAAGTTACCTTAAAACTTATTTTGAACTCTCTTATTATTACTGTAATCTCCTCATCTTAAATAAATTCCCAACTCAATTTTATTTGGCTGTATTGGGGTTTTGGGGTTTTGGGGTTTTGGGGTTTTGGGG